GGTGTTCTTGGGATGAATATAGGATAGAAATATACCTTTATTTATTCCTTGGGTAGCCATAATCGGGATTCGTTCTTAACGATGCATGTTTCGATTTGCATAGACGTATCGTAGATTGGTTATGCATGTTAGGATTATAATTCATTATGAAGGCTGTTTATGTTAAAATCTAGTATTCCTGGTTAATAAATTAATTCATTAGCTTGCTTCATTAGATTTTTATTTCTAAAAAGTACACATAGGAGAAGACTAGATCCTAGACTTTTTCCAATTTGATCAAATCCTCCGTTATTTGCTCTTTTTTTTTTTTTTTTTTTTTTTTATCATTTCTTGGTTTTATTTAGTTAATTTTTAGGATTCATAACTTAAAAACTTAATTTTGTTGCTTGGATAAAGATAAGTAGCAACAATGTAAGTACTTTAGAAGTAAAAAATAATTTGCTCCCTGTGGGTACGATATTCTGAATCTTCACGAGACCACTTTATTATTTGTTAACGATACTTGCACTTTCATACGCAAAAAATTACCAACAACATGGAGATGGGTTTATTTGCGAAACTGCTTTTTGTCTTAACTTATATGCATTGAAGTCTATCTCTGAGGGTCTATTTGTCATTTCCCATATAATCTAATGAAGATGTACATACAGCAAATTGCCCTTAAATTATTCCTACTTCTCTTGATAAAGTTTAGTAGTAGCTATTTTACAACTTCCAGATTTCTTCCTTATAAACAACTCTACCTTCTTTCCTAATTCGTGTAGTTATCTAAAAAATGATTCCCACTTCCCTTGATCAAGTTTTTACCGTTTATGGATGTGATATTCTCTCTTGCTTATTACTCCCTCCGTTCCACAATAACTGTCTCTTTTTAAAATTATTTTTGTTCCATTTTATCTGTCACTTTACATTTCCAATTTTGCCTTAAATGCATTTTTCCTGTTTTAACCTTATTAACTATACTCTAAGCATTAATTATCTATTATAAATAATTAATGATAAAGGTTGTTTTAGTCATTTTTATGTATTTTTCCTAAAATCAAGAAACATTTATTGAGTTTCTTAATCTTTGTGAAAATTGAAAAGTGACACTTATTTAGGAACGGAGGGAGTACTAATCAGTAGTGCCTTTTGCTATGTATGTTGGTTTAGTAAACTTCAGAGATAAGAATATTGATTGCTCAAAAAAGCATAAAGTGAAACTCTATATATATATATATATATATATCATTCAACACTTGTAGCACTTGTTTCTGCTGCTACCTCATTTTACATATTAGGGTTTCGTGAAAATGAAGAATAACAAAGAAATAATATATCTTCATGGAGACATAAGCATTAAAATAATCGATGCCCCACGCATTCCCTGTATGGAGTTTGTCTCCGATAACCGAACATGTTTGCCATTGCTTTCATAATCCTTATGTTAAGGTGTACATGGGAGAAGCCCGTGTTGCTCGTACAGCCCGTGTACGGGCCCGTTCACAAAATCCGGTGTGGAACAAGCATTTCCATGTCTAGCCCTATGGGTCTATTTGTCATTTGCCATATAATTTAATATTGAGTAAACTGCAAAGAGTACCCATGTGTAATCTCTAAATAGCAAAAACCTCCCTATGATAAATGAACTAGCAAAAAAACCCGATGAAATTATTTATATAGCACACTCAGCCCGTTATTCATTTGAGCGTTGAGTTGATATAAAAAGACACTGAATTACCCCATAGTTTTGCAATTAATAAATTCTTATATTTTATAAATATTTTAATTATTTTATTTTCGTTATATCTTAACTAGAAAGTACAATGGGGTCTTTATATTTTCTATTTATATTATCAGATAATTTCTGCATATATTTTAAGTTAACTTTACATCAAAATAAAACTTAAATTACATTATTACTTATTTCAAAAACCTATACTTAATTTTAGGGATGGCCATGGGGCAGGTACATGGCGGGTTTTGAAAAACCTGCATCCACCCCACTAGCAAAATTTCCCACCCGTACCCGTTCCGAAGCCCCCGCCCCGTATAAAATCAACCCTGTACCCAACCCTCCCCAAACCTGTAAAAAATATAATTTTTTTATATTTATAATTAATTTAATTAAAATATCTTTAAAAATTAATATTTTATAATTTAAAAAATATATAAAATTGATAAAAATATATATATATAAACAGGTTGGATAAGGGAGGGGAGGTAAGGGTGCATATGTTCAAAACCCGTACCTGCTACATGTTAAATTTTTAAAACACATACCCGCCCCATTAGCAAACGGGGCGGGGATTACCCAGTCGGGAGGGTTAGATTGCCATCCTATTTAATTTGATAATTTTTTTAATAGTATTTTAATTTCTAAACAATCAATTATATATATATATATATATATATATATATATATATATATATATATATATATATATATATATATATATATATATATTTTAGTGACAATTTCGTCATTTCACGTCCAAAAATCAGTTACCAGCTGCAGATCCAGCAATTGAGTCACACAAAATTCAACCAGGGAGTTTGTGCCTTTGGCTAAATTCCACAGGGTTTTTGCTATAGTTTATTTATTACAAGGGTTTTTTGCAATTTGAAAATTGTATAGAGATACTTTTTACAATTTACCTATTTATAGAGAAACATTCAGCAAATTGCCCCTAAATTACTCCTACTTCAGTTGATAAAGTTTAGGGCAAATGGCAAAAAGACCCATCACATGGGACTTAAATGCATTTTAATCCACAAAAAAAACAGTCTCTCAATTAAGCCCATCCCCATGTCTTTAGTCTAAAATACCCTCAATAATATAATTCTTAACAATTCCACCCATTATGCTCTAACTTCCTTAATATTACACATTGACCCCGGATTTAAACAAATATATCACATTAACCCCCAAAACTTTTTTTTTTCAGAAAATAATTTTTTTTCTGAAATTTTTTTCTCCGGCCAGATTCCGGCGTTGACCGCCGGAGACCGCCGGTCTCCGGCGTTGACTTTTTTTTTTTTTTTTTTGAAAACTTTTTTTTTTCCTGAATTTTTTTTCCGGTCGGTCAACCACCGTTGACCGCCGGTCTCCGGCGTTGACTTTTTTTTTTTTTTTTGAATTGTTTTTTCTTAGAAAAAAAATATTTTAATTAATATTACTGTCTTGACTACTAAATTACTGTCTCAGACAGTAATATTACTGTTTGGGACAGTAATATTATGAATATTATTTTTCCGAACAGTAATATTATTAATATTATTGTCTAAGACAGTTAAATTACTGTTGGAGACAGTAATTTAACATCCAAGACAGTAATATTAATTAAAACAAATTTTTTTGTAAGGAAAAAAATTGAAAAAAAAAAAAAGTCAATTAACAGTTAAATTACTGTCTCCGACAGTTAAATAACTGCTGGAGACAGTAATTTAGCAACGAATACAGTAATATTAATTAAAAATATTTTTTTTAAGAATAAAAAAGTCAATTAACAGTTAAATTACTGTCTCCGACAGTTAAATAACTGCTGGAGACAGTAATTTAGCAACGAATACAGTAATATTAATTAAAAATATTTTTTTTAAGAATAAAAAAGTCAATTAACAGTTAAATTACTGTCTCCGACAGTTAAATAACTGCTGGAGACAGTAATTTAGCAACGAATACAGTAATATTAATTAAAAATATTTTTGAAGAATAAAAAAGTCAATTAACAGTTAAATTACTGTCTCCGACAGTTAAATAACTGCTGGAGACAGTAATTTAGCAACGAATACAGTAATATTAATTAAAAATATTTTTGAAGAAAAAAAAAAAACAGTCAATTAACAGTTAAATTACAGTCTCCGACAGTTAAATAGCTGCCGGAGACAGTAATTTAGCAGCCAAGACAGTAAAATTAATTAAAATATTTTTTTTTAAGAAAAAACAAAATTATTAAAAAAAAAAAAAAAAAAAAGTCAACGCCGGAGACCCGGCGGTCAACGGCCGTTGACCGGCCGGAAAAAAATTTTAGGAAAACGAAAATTCAAAAAAAAAAAAAAAAAAAAGTCAACGCCGGAGACCGGCGGTCAATTTTGGTATATATAAAGGGATTTTCCTTATTTGCAAATAAGTTTGAATGGGATGGGTTTATTTGAAAAACAAAAAAGTTGGATGTCCCTTTTTGAATTAAGTGCCCTTGTCATGGGCCTATTTGCCATTACCCCTAAAGTTTAATAGTAGCTATTTTACAACTTTCAGATTTCTTCCTTATAAACAACTCTACCTTCTTTCCTAATTCATGTAGTTATTTAAAAAAATATTCCTACTTCCCTTGATCAAGTTTTTACCGTTTATGGATGTGATATTCTTTCTTTCCTTTAATTACTAAACACTAGTGCCTTTTGCTATATAAGTTAGTTTTCTAAACTTCGGAGATAAGAATATTGATTACTCAAAAAAGCATAAAGTGAAATTAAACCCTATATATATACATCATTCAACAAATCCTACTCCAACACTTAACACATTTAATTTTTAATTTGTATCAGTTGCATATAAGTTTCTTCTGCTACCTCATTTTACATATATATAGAGTCTCGTGAAATGAAGAACAACGAAGAAATGATATATCTTCACGGAGACATAGACATTAAGATAATCGAAGCCCGATGCATGCCGTGCATGGAGTTTATCTCCGAACACGTCTGTCATTGCCTTCAAAACCCTTATGTTAAGGTGTACATGGGAGAAGCCCGTGTTGCTTGTACAGCCCGTGTACGGGCCCGCTCACAAAATCCCGTGTGGAACGAGCATTTCCAACTCCCGTTAGCTCACCCCGTTGATCAGGTAGTGATATTATCCGTATTTTACGTTGTTTAATTATATACATATCACTGTGGATTTTATTTTACATGAGAGTTAAATGGCTTCACTTATTAGATAGTGGCTTCTTGCATGAAATGTACCTGATTTTATATATTTTTTTATTAAAATTGTAAATCTTTCTTTTACTTGTTAATATTCATTATGCATATATGAACTGATAGTAAACTCTTTTAAATAATAATTGCATGATACAGGTTAGATTCGCTCTTAGAGACACTGAAATATGCGAAACCAAACTGAATGCCTTCGTTCCAGCAAAGAAAATTGTTACGGGTGAGCTCATCGATGAATGGTTTCTAGTTGTAGGAACAGATGGCCCTCATACTGCAATTAAATTGCAAATCAAATTCACTCCGTGCGAAATAAATCCTATCTACTCGAGTGGCATCTCAGAAAATTTTGCAGTTGAGCGAAGCTATTTTCCAATGCGGCACGGAGGAAAATTGACGCTCTATCAAGACGCGCATGTGATTGATGGAATGCTACCCGAAATTAAATTGGAAGATGGGAGAAATTTCGAGCACGAAAAGTGTTGGGAGGATATATGCCACTCGATATCAGAGGCGCTTCATTTGGTATATATTGTAGGGTGGTCGGTTTATCATAAGGTAAAGTTGGTGAGGGAGCCTAGTAAACAATTGCCGAATGGTGGGGACTTGAATTTGGGGGAGCTGCTCAAGTACAAGGCTCAACAGGGGGTGAGAGTTGCACTTCTGGTTTGGAATGACAGGACTTCATGTGACAATTGTTTTATTAAAACGGTAAGAACTGTTTATGAATTGTTACATTGTTGCAGTGTGTACATGTTGTAGATTATCTGATATTAATATACCGTTGTTGACCTATTTTAATGCAGAAAGGAAAAATGAAAACCCATGACAAAGAAACTCGAAACTTTTTCAAGCACTCTTCTGTCACTTGCGTGTTAGCTCCTCATTCCAGAATTAACAATTTAAATCGACAGGCATGTTTTACAACTGAATCTATGAATTTAATTTAATTCTTAATAATTTTTGAATTATCGGTGATTTTCACAAAAATCTAGACGAATGACCAATGGTATTTTTTTGTTATCTATTCAGGTTGGTCGAATGTTCTACAGTCAACATCAGAAATGTGTGATTGTAGACACCAAAGGACACGAAAATAACCGAAAAATAACCACATTCATTGGTGGTCTAGACCTCTGTGATGGACGATATGATACACCGGATCACCGACTATACGATAACAACAATGTCTTTAAGGATGACTATCATAATCCAACATTGCATGTAAGAAACTTCACCATTTAAATATTTAACTTCAAATCTTCATCTTTTCAGTTATGCACTTACAAAGAGCTAATCAAATAAGAGATTTTGAAATACTTCTTGGATCTTATGGTAGTCCATATATAATAAAATAGTGATGATTAGGTTGTCTAAGCTAAGAGCAAATTTTGTTCTTGTGTTCTGCCTAAACCTATTCCTACATGTTGATTCGTATTTATATTTCTCGATAGGAAGGAGAGAAAGGCCCAAGACAACCGTGGCATGACTTACATTGCAAAATTGAAGGTCCAGCTGCTTATGATGTGCTCAAGAATTTTGAGCAACGGTGGAAAAAAGCCACTAAAAACTCTGAATTTTCACAATTTTGTAAAAGGTTATTAGGATGGAATGATTTTACTTTAGTTGACATTAATCATAATTCACGGATAGCTAGTCCGTCCACAACTGTTCCGAATGACGACCATTCATTGCGTGTCTCTAATGAAGATGATCATGAAAACTGGCATGTTCAGGTCATGATTATTGAAAAGAGGGATTTTTGTTTTCCTTTTTTATGTACGATGAGGTGATTAAAACTTTTGTCTTGATTGGTTATTTTGATGTCAACAGATTTTTCGCTCAGTAGATTCAGCATCGGTTGAGGGGTTCCCCAAAACTGACATTGAGGCAAAGGAACAAGTATTTCACATACTTTCAATGTTACTTTTTGCTCTTTCAATTTTATGCTAGTTAGATATTACCTTCTCCGTTGACTTCTTACAAATGTGTTCTTAAACATTTTATTTATCGCAGAACCTTGTATATGAACAAAAACTAGTAATAGATATGAGTATCCAAATGGCGTATATTCAAGCAATAAGATCTGCACGACACTTCATATTCATCGAGAATCAATATTTTCTTGGGTCATCTTTCGCTTGGCCCACTTACAAAAAAGCAGGTAGGCTGCTTCTGCAAAATGTTTATCTTCGTCTAATTATTCAACTAAGTAGCTACTAAATTTTTAGTTTAAACTATGTTTTTTAATAAATATTTCCTAAATAACTTTTTCTTGCATTTATTTTGCTTAAAATGTGAAATAATTGATTTTGTTAGGTGCGCATAACTTAATCCCGATGGAACTAGCATTGAAGATTGCAAGTAAAATAAGGTCAAATGAGAGATTCACTGTTTATGTTGTCATTCCTATGTGGCCCGAGGGTGATCCTAAATCTGGTCCTGTACAAGAAATTCTTTGTTGGCAGGTAAATGTTGAAAACTAATCTAATAATTAGCGTATTTATTTAGTGGTAATTCTTAAATTTGCGAAACGTGTTTGTAGAAATAATAAATTCATTTCTTTAATATATATGTATATTTGAAATAATGGCTTGAGATAATGTGGGTTATATGCCATGTCATGCATTTTCTCGTCCATGTTTTACATGTAAACTATGGTGCTCTTTAATCACTCGCATTATTGTAGGGGGAAACAATGAAGATGATGTATCGAATCATTGCTCAAGAGTTGAAGTCAGTGCAACTTGACAATGCACATCCAACTGACTATCTGAACTTCTACTGCCTTGGCAATCGACAGGAACGTCATAAAGATGAATCATCTCGTCAAGACATGGTAGTTGTCGTTCACCTTTAACGTATGTGTATATATTTTTATATTTCTACTATTCACTGACTTTCTGAAAGTTTCAAAACACCATGAATTAAACTCATATGTACTTGATACTTTTTGTTTCAAGGATGTTATCCAATTCCTAGTTTAGGATTTTACTTTTCAATCTCTTTATCGAACAATATTAAATTAAGCCTAAATAATAATGGCAGGATTCAGCATCAGAGGAACATGGACGATTTATGATATATGTACATTCCAAGGGAATGATAGTGGATGATGAGTATGTGATAATTGGTTCTGCCAACATCAACGAACGTTCAATGGCTGGCTATAGAGATACAGAGATCGCAACGGGAGCTTATCAACCCTACTACACTTGGACTAACAAGAACGAACATCCATGTGGCCAGGTTAGTCTTGATTTGCTTGTTATTCTTTCACTTCTCAATAAGCGATAGATTACCTCGTATGTATGAACTTGATGACAACGAAATATTTCACAAAACTCATCGACCTTTATAGAAAATCAAAATTGAAATGCATCAATGTTTATATATTTGCAGGTGTACGGATATAGAATGTCAATTTGGGCAGAGCACATAGGGAGAATTGAGAGTTGCATAAAAGAACCTAAAAATTTGGAGTGTGTCAAATACATAAACAGAGTTGCAGAAGATAACTGGAAGAAATACACGGCTGAGCAGTACAGTCCATTACAAGGGCATATCCTTAAATACCCAGTGGAAATTGATGCTTATGGAAATGTAAAACCCTTACCTGGACATGAATTCTTTCCGGATGTTGGTGGAAAAGTGTTGGGTAATCCATGCATGATGTTGCCTAAAAATTTGAGTACTTAAACGTACTCTACATATTTTGTCATGTATACATAATTCATGTTACAATACTTGGAAAAATATCACAGCTAATTTAATTTGTGTGTTATTCCCTCATAGAGATACTATATATAATAAGGGATATAAGTCTAGTTATAATATAACTAGAACTCCAAATGTAAATATAATTGTATAATAATAATCTTAATTATACTAACAGCCCCCTCAGACTCAAGACGGGTGATATACCAACTTGAAGTTATTAACTAAATCATAATGACGTCTCTTCAGTTGAGGCACGTAGCGTTTGGGAGTTCCGGCGCTTGAATCCGTGCAAAATTTCTGACAACTCCGACGATCGTCTGGTTTCTATCGATTGAATAGATCAGCTAACGACGATCTTGATGGTACCTTGATCAGAATATTGATGGACGTCGTGCACAACACCGAATGTAGGACAGTATAAAAAAGAAGAAACACTAAAAATAAGATTGGTCTAGGAAAACATACATTCACCGATGAACATCAGTAATTTGTGGTGTTTTCCAGTCTCGGTGAACCTGAAACCGAGCAAAAGATGAAGAAAAACAAAAAAGAAAGGATTTTTTGCAAGAACTACCCCTGTGTAATTTCTAATTATCGAAAAAACCATAAAAGAATTAGCAAGGACCCCCTATGAAAGTTAGTCAAAACCGAAAAACCCCTTAACAACTTTTCGTGATGCCCAATCGCGGATTGTGCGGCTGGAGTAAGTTAGTCAAAGCCGAGAAACAAATTATTATACATTTATAAAACCTCTTAGATGATTTATAATATTCGAGTTCTATTCAAATTTGGAATTCTGTTATATATCATTATTAATATTCATGAAATAACATTTTTTAGCTTTCGTCATTTTTGTTTGGCACAAACCAACAGATTAATAATTATCGATTATAACATTATTATTCGATATTACTAAAATCTATATATATATATAAATATATATATATTCACCTTTTTTCTATTGAATATCAGATTATTTCCGTAATATTTTTTTGAAAAGGAATTTCCATAAATTATTACAAGGACTAAAGACCATCTTAGGCTACACGTCATTATTTTTCAGTATATGAGTAGCTCTTGCCATCCACTTCAGTTGGCTGTGTAATCTGCATTATTGATCAAGTTCTCAAGTTCAATAATAATAATTATTATAATATATTTAGAAGTAAATAAATTGTAAATATGAAGTGTACTATTAATTAAGGCGCATTTTGGGCAGAAGAGTGAACACAAGGTTTAAAGTTTGAGACTTACTTCCACATTTTGTTCCCTCTGGAAGTGGATTACGACAATATCTTGCAAGATCGACCACTTTCCAGGAACTATATATAATCTCCTTGCCAAAGACGAATCTCTTGCAAAACAATTTTATGTCGGTCTTCCTAGCATAAGCGCAACATTTTTTATTTGGTTCATAAAAAAACGGATATATTGTAGAAACGTAAAATGAACAATATACGATGAAATTCGTTATGCCCCAACAACGTGATGCAAGACTAGGGGTTTTAGGGGTTTTAGGATCTTTGCCCACGGCCATGTTAATCTTCATTGTTGTAAGCCCAATTATCATAAATATTACTAGCAAAACATTATGAGTACGAGGTATGGCCATTTCTCGTATGTTTCTATATGTCTACGTGTGTTTATGCGTGTTATGAAATTTATAATGTAAATGGATACTAACGAATTTTCCGAATTGGATAGATATATTAAATTAGCTTTTTCTTGAAATAATATTGGATTCTCAAAGATAAGAGGCTCTTTAATTCCATAATCTGCAAGTAAGATTAAGTACTTTACATTGATTAGTATTTATGTTTTTTTTTTTCATAACCAAATCTAACATTAGCTTTTCAAGTGATAAGGTTTTCACGGCAAAGTATTTGAAAATAAATACAATGGATCTCATTAGATAGAATGCAAGTAAGTATGCAGACACAAATGTCACCCTCATCCCAAAAAAAGCAACACCAAAAATAAGACAGCATGTCTAGGAAAAAGTACATTCATTTTTTTTTTTTTTATCTTTTTGGTAGTTATTA